CTTTGGACAATTATTGGATTTTAGCGCTATATAAATAAAATTATTATTATTATTATTATCATAGTTAGCAGGGTACTAAGCAGCACAGAATCTTCAGGTGCCGCTAAATAAACCAAGCCTCTAGAATCCCAGCGAACCACACACCTTTTAAGTCGATGGTTGAGCACAAAACTGTGTGAAATCGCAGGCTTTGCAGTCCAGCAGTTGGAGTAACATGTAAGATTTCCGTTAAGAGCATTGTGTCGATCCTTAAGGGCTAATACATTGATAGAAACGATAAAAAATACAAGAGCTCTCACGAGCGTTGCAGCCATCTTGGCATGCATTCTTTGCTGGCCTTCCATCAGGCCATAATGTTCAAGGTGTTGGTCCATGGGTGCCAGGAGGCAAGATGTAAACCACTTATACATGTTATTCAGACAAGTAATAGGTCTTTGATTTTCACTGAGGAACTCGCCTTCTTTCGGAATGAGGGAGGTTTTCCCTTCAGAAAACCACTCGGGGTAATCTTCGTCGCTCTTAGAAACTTCTTTGAAGCTCTCGACCACACCCTCGTGCAGGGTGCTAGCACGTTTCCACCAAAAGTTAGTGATTTTATCAGGCCCTGGCGCACTCCAGTTGCGCTTCTTGGACAGGACTTTGACCGCTTCCGCTACTTCGAGAGCCCATTCGTCGCCTGTCGGTGGTGGTACTTGCTCGTGGATCGCGAGCTTTACTTCCTGCAACCAGGCCGCGTTCTTATTCCCAGTCCCCCTCTCTTCTCACAGCTTTCTCCAAAACCCGCTCGCCTCTTCAATGTTTTCAAACATTCGCGAATCATCACGAGCACGTTTTCCAGGATCTTTATATCTTGGCCGCTCATTCTCTGGGTCCTTCTTCAACATCTCACTCAAATTCGCAAACACTCTTCCAGGGACCGTGTTAAACTGTTGGTTAATCACACGCGAGGCCTCTTGTTTCTTTTTCCTGTCAAACGCACGTTTTAACTTTAACACGTCTTATTATTATTATTATTATTATTATTATTATTATTATTATTATTATTATTATGATCAAAACTATAACAAAATTCTTAAATCTGGTTGGCTATCAACAAACCCCGATTTCAGCCTTAATGAAAGGCTTCGTTTATAGTGGAAAGTGCACTTAGCTTATATAGCTAGTTTACAGACACTACACTCAAATACTTAAAAATAAATAATTCAAATATAACATAACAGGATTAAAAACTCCAACTGGCAGGAGGCAACCAGTTGGCTATTTACAAGCGTGGCCGAGGATTTGAGCTCGGGACGACCGACAACAAATCCAGCAAGTCGACAGAGCGGGACTCGAACCCGGGATCAACGGATTGCGAGTCCGAAGCGCTGACCACTCGGCCACAATGCCTCCTAAAACAGTTTAACTGGACAGTACACGTCATACCTAAGTAATTAGATAGTACACGCCATCACGCGCGCGCTTAAATGGCTTTTTGTTTTCACTGCTAGCAAAAAAAATCTTGGAATTTCTTGTTTAAATAAGAGCCTTCTATATCACAAATTTTGTTAAAGTTATGATTAATTAGTAACAGAACTTCGTGTCGTCTAATTCGGTCTGTAATCATACTCGTGATTAAACAATCATTAATCACTCGTATGATTACAGACCAAATTGGACTCCACTCAGTCCCGTTAACATTACTTATTATGATTATTATGTAAAATTTAGCACAGGGATTTTCCTTGGGGAGAAATATCCAGTCAAGTCTCATCCCGAGACCTCTCGGAACTATTATTATTATTATTATTATTATTATTATTATTATTATTATTATTATTATTTTCTACAATTCTTTCAGGACTTTGATTACTAGCCGCTTAATAGGTGGCTGCATAATGGCGTGCTTTACGAAAGACGCACTTTCCGCCATGGCTGGGTTTAAGTTTAGTTAAGAGAACCCACGGTCAATGCAAAATTTGAATTCAGATACTAATTGAAGCTTAAAAAGAAAATTCATTGAATTCTTTTTTTTTTTCTACAATCTGTCGATTGGCTGTTCTAAAAGGGAGAGCGAAAATCATCCAAGAAAATCGTACTTTTGGGCAAAAGAATAAACTACCTGGAATAAACTTCTTGGAATAAAAGTTTAAAAACACATCCTTAATTCCATGCTCCCTACCTCTCCTTGCATCATGGGAAAAGTGGTTAAGTTATCGGAGAAAAGAAAACTTATTTTCCAACAAATAATATATTTTTATAATGTATTTTTGATATAAAACAGGCCATTTACGAGTTACTACAAGCCTCTGTTTCAAAACGAGACTAAGCGCGAAGCCATTGATGTGACAATGATTTTCTATTCTCATGAACAGAAAACTTATTTTCACAAGAAAGGTTTATCAATTAGCCTCGTTTTGAAACAGAGGCTTGGGGTAACTCTGACTACCTACTTGATGTCTGTAGCAGTGTGGCCGTGCCATAGGGTCCAGGTCCAACGGCCGTAAAAGCCCGAACAGAGATACTGTACTGGGAACAAGTGAGGAAATCATAAAAAACAGCAAAGGTTTCTGTTGTACTGACTCCTTTGCTGCTTGCAACTGCTCGCCGTGAGCGTCCTCTCGTGGGTACCAACTCCGCATTTGCTTCATAGCGAACGACTATCCCGTTGCTCTTCTCCGTTGGTAGAGGAGCCCATGAAATGTTGAATGTTGTTTCATTCAGTTCAGTAGTGAAAACTGTATCTGGACCGAAACTGGGTGCTATCAAGAAAAAGAAACATTCAAAAATTTTATAATAAACAAAGAGGTCGTAATAATGCTTACATTCGACAAAAATGAATATAACTCTTTATAATGGAAAGTTCTCTTGGGCACAAAGATACCAATGAAACGTACTTCAATTCCTTTGGGATATTCACAACTTCCTGTATAAAAAATCGAAAAGCGTTCCAATGGAGTTTGTCGTTTGCTTTAATCGCTTTTTTATGCCGGTTCTCACGGGTTTTCATCAATTGTTTGATCTCAGGTGTGATGACACGGATTCGGGCGTGATTTGATCTTCATGCGTTTAATTGGTGCATGTTCACTCAGCGTGTCAAGGAATAACTTATTGAATACATCAACTTGATCGTAGTGTTTCTGATATGTTAAAGCAAAATTTCAATCAATCCGAAGCACTGTCATCAGTATGGAATTGCTGCGCTCTTTTCTCAGAAAAGTCATTTCGTTGGGCAATCCTGTCGTGGCGTTGGAAATGTGTGCTGTTTCCTCAGGCAAATGGTATTTCAAGTATGAGAACTGAGAATTCTTAGCCTAACGCATATAAGCTTAGCCGAAAGGATCGTTCATGTACATGTACGTGTTTTCATTCTTACATTGACTGTACATGTCTTACCATCTTCACTTGTTCTCTCCGTCACAACAGAGCTTCTCGGTCCGTCCCCAGCGTTAGTGAATGCGGACACTTGGAATTCGTATCCTGTAAATTTCCCCAGTCCCGTGATCGTTGTAGAGAGAACTGTTCCATCGTGAACAGTGACAGTGTTCGCTTGACCAGAGGTGCCATTTATCCGGTAGTACAGTGTAAATCCCAAAATAACTCCATTTTGGGATATCCCGGGGGGAAGTTGCCAGTTCGCTAAAACACTAGTCGAGTTGTTGACAGTCACAACCAGGTTCGCAGGGGCTTGTGAAGGAGCTGAAAACGAGAAGTCAAAAGGCCATATTTAGGATGATGGCATTTGACTACAACAACAAGGATGCATTTCGATAATCTAAATTTGTCAATCCCGCAGAGATTTAAAAAAAAAAATGCAACGGCCTTAACCTGCACCAGAAAACAATAACTATTACTATGCCTTTATCTAGCCTAAAAAAATATTCCAAATAAATGCATTTTAAAAAAACAATCTGTCCCTAAAAATTCAAGACAGATTCTACCTTGATCATCTGTTCCCAACAGCGATATAGGTAAAACGATAAAACAGATATGGAGATAAATAGAGTATTATAATAGAAGGCAGGATTGAAGACGTAATCGGGCGAGTAATCAACGATTGCTAATCGTCCGAGGCGCCTTCACACTCTTATTGGGGAGTGGGCGAGCGACAATTTCCTCAAAAAAGGCTAGCACTTAGAAATAGCTCCACAGTGAATACTTACCTTCCGCGTTAGTTCTCACAGTTTTAACGGCACTTGACGGTCCATCACCCATAATTGAAAAAGCTAATACTTGAAATTCATATTTTGTGAATATCCCAAGTCCAGTGACTTCATGGCTAAGGGTAGAGTAGCCTTCAATGGTTATGACGGTAAGTGGATCCTCAACAGAGCTCAAGTTTCTGTACAGGAGCCTGAATCCTGTAATCGCCTGGAAGTCCACCGTTGGTAACTGCCAGGATGCTTGAACACTGGTGGAGGAGGTAGGGGTCACCATAAAGCTTGTGGGAGCACGGCCTGGCGCTATAAGAAAAGTAAGCATCGGGATGATGATTTACTGTATATTGTTAGAGGACCTAGAGATTCAGTGTGGGAAGAAAACATGAAAGAAAAGCAGAGAGGAAACTTTAAAGAAAAAAAACAACAATAACAACAACACCGACAAGAGCTCAACAGCTTTTATCTCTGCTCCGAAAGAACGTTACTAAAGATGTGTTTCTCTCAATCCGGATAATGAAAAATCTACCTATTATTTACCATATATTGTTAGAGGGCCTATGGATTGTGGGAAGAATAAAGAAAGGGTACTTGACTGAAGAGAAATACCAACAGCAGGAACTCAATTAATAGCTTTCATCAATGCATTGAAATAGCATTTTTACCGAAAAATGTGTCATAATGCTTCAAGAGAGAATACTTATCGACATCCACGGAAACTAACTAAAAACAATAGTTGGTAATAAGCAACAATTAATTTTTATTTGTGGTCACAAAAACTAATCTCAAGAAAGAAGAAGATGAAAAATGTCCACTTTCAAAAAATGACCTAGTTGGTGCAAATTTCTGGGAAAGTATATGCACCGATATGCTCCAATGAATCCATATAAATCATATTAAATAGGCCTTGTGAGTAAGCTTCACTTTACTTCGCTATTAGTCTGTGATTGTACGGCGATATCCTCAACTATATTCGAACGCTTTTATGGTTGTTACTACCTCGTGCACATTACACAGTTGTGCCGGATTTCTCTTAGACGGAGACCGAACGTCGACCATTATTTTCTCAAACTGTCCCAAGCACTATTTTTACAAAACCGACGGGTAATGGGGGTTAGGGGAGGGGGTTGACATTTCAGACTACACTATGCACAATTTACCTGTTGTTGTGAGTATTCCATACACCTCTACTCTTAAAGCTTTTTCAGCTTCAAACTCTGTTGGATGAAAGTGAATGAACCTTGCTCTAACTATACCAACCAGACTGTGTTTGACGATATCATCCTCCCCGTCATTGGCGTTAAAGATCTGCAAACAGTTAACATTGTTGTAAATAAAAGGTAACCACTAGAATGAGAAAATAGGTTCTAACGCTGCTCTTTTTTGGTGCAAAAGTTACCTTAGCAATTTTTTTTTCAGATCAAATAGCTTAACCGGCGGGTAGAACGCAACTTTCCCTTGGTAAACCTAACATCAGTTAGCCTAGAAAAAGTTGTCTCGTGTAACCGCGGAATTTTTTATTTTTGTATTTTTATATAAAATCTTTCCAATTTAATTTTCTTCACATTGACCATAAAACATCTTGTTCCCACTACCCCCAATCCAAAAAAATATTTATAACCATGGTCATACAATTTTTCTTTGGGTCGTCCCAAGGGAAATTAAGAAAAAAAATCCGGGTTTAACAGGGTGTATTATGGGCACTATGAAAACGGTTACAGCCGAGCCAGGTCAAGCGTATCCCCTAAGATTCCATTAATGAATTTATTATTCGAAAGTTGAATCCGTCGGTAGTTGTAGATTTCAGATTCATCTTCGCATTCTTGCATGTGTGTGTGGCCGTGAATTCATACGCCAGGCAGTTAAGACATTTCTACCAGCTCAGGTTCCCTGAATTTGATTTCAACGTCTTCTAAGAAATTTAATCCACTGAAATATTTTCCGTCTGACCAAATACAGAGAAGTTCTCGTAAAATATTCACTGCTCATTGCGCGTGCAGAAATGCCGATTTTAATTTGGCACTAATAACGGGAACGACAAACGGATTCATTTTACAAATAATCAATTCCTTAATAGAACCTTGGGGCGTACGTTTGACCTGCCTTGACTGTAATCCTCATTTTTGGAATCCATAATATACTCTGCTTGCCTGCCAAATGTTGCTTAATCGCAAATAGCGGGTGGAGGTAATCATGGTCACAGTTTTGGATGACATAACGACCGTAGATGTCCTCAGAGCAAGCAATTATTATTACAAAACTCGACGAAGCGCGCTTTTTTCACTATGGTTATTATGCACGACTACAAACTTCCAAAAGGACAGGGGCACCCACGTCAGTTTTCGGAAAATATCTGTTCGGAAGACGATTTGAGATCTAGAATTTTCGGAACATTTGTTGCAAAATTTCTTGCTTGCCTGCCTCTCCTAGCATTTTCGAACATCTAATGGTATTATTGCCCATTTTTAACGGATTTTTGTCCTTAAAAGGTCACCAAGAATTTTTGGTAACCTTTTTTCTGGCTGGGATTTTCGGAAAGGTAAGTTTGGATTCCTATAACTTTCGGATAATTAGACTTTCAGCTAGGAAATCCGAACAGATGAAAAATTTTTAGGGGATAAAAATATGCCTATAACTACCGTTTAAATACTAAAAGGCTTTTAAAAATGCTGTTTGAGTGGTTTTGAACTATATTCTCGTTGGGTGCCCCTGAAAAGGAGACAATTTCCGAGGGGGTGGAGGGTTGCTTACGGAGGTTTTTTTCCAGGGGGGGGTTGCTTACAGAGGTTTTTTTTTCCAGGGGGTCTGAGTAAGATTGGTGAGTTACTGGTAAAAAAACAGGTTCTCTGTTGAGCAGGCTTTCAGTTATTTCGCTATTACCGGTGTTCAAAACAAGTATTTCTTGAGAGAAAGAGTATTCTCAGGAGATACTTATTTTCGTATCAACAGTTTCGCACTTAGCCTTGCTTTGATACAGAGGCTTGGAGCAACTCGGAAATGGCCCATTAAGTAGCTCTAATTGCGTTGCAAGTTTTCTTGTGTACAAACACACCTTGTCAGTGTCGTTTTCTTGATAAGTTAACCAGGTTGAGTTGTCCACCGAATAACGTAATTTGTACTTTTTTGTCCAGTGATTGGCACTTGAACCTTGAGTGGCTACGGCGCAGATAAAAAACTGGTCTTTCAGGTCAATTTGTAAGTAGTCGTTGTCATCACTATTTCCGCTAGGTGACCAGGCGCCATTTCCGTTTAGACGGCCTTTGGAAGCTTCATTACCAGAACGATGAGTCGAGGCAGAGAAACTGTTGTCTGGGATAGCGTCACTGCTGGCCAGACCGATAGCCTGGATTTGGCACGCTAAAAAAGGATATTTATAACTTAATCATATGTTGATTGAACCTTCCGAGGACAAGAGTGAGTAGATTTTTTTCTGTTATATCATCGTCCCTAAGTAAGTATCATGTTTAAGATTAAAGGGGCTACCTCACGCTCTTTGCTATGTTTTTCAAATGTTCAAACGTGTCCTTGCTCAATTGAATTCAAAGATTAATGGTCCATTTTTTGTTATTCAGGGCTGTATTCAGGTTCTGAAACTGTTCCTGTCTTCTACTGCAACGGATGGCAAAAGTGGACGTAAACTGAAACTTGAAAATGTTTGGCCAAATTTTTCAAGTTGTAATGCGGTGCCTAGAATAATCACCGAAAAAAATGTAATGTGTAGTTCCAGATAATATTCTTATCACCAACTCCCTCCACGGAGGGCAACGGACAATTCCGAGGGGAGAGGAGGTCCAAGAGAAGGCAATTTCCGAGGGGATGGGGAATTGCTTCCCAAGGTTGGTTCTAATTACGGTTAAGCTCTGGGTACATTAACAAGAGTTCGTACTGATTTTTCGATCCAAAATTCAAGACTTTATCAGACATAATTCCAAACCAATAGTTTTTTTTTCCAGACTCAAAGTTATCAAATACAGTCGAACAGACTGAGTGGTCACGTACAAGAATTGAAGCACATGGGGCCTCTTCCAAGAAGAGATTACACGTTAGAGATTTTTGGAATGGAAATAGATAATAAACTGAGTTTTTCTAAACATATATCGAATGTATGCGAAAAGATTAATAATCAATTTAATGTTATGTTGCGCTTTAGAAAACACATACGCAAGGAAATCTATTCAAACTTTACAAAGCGTATATTTTACCTCCCTTTTATTATTGCTCCTCTGTCTGGCACTTTTGTGGAGCGCGATGCGGATAAGCTTGAAGCTTTAAATAAAAGAATACTTAGATTTATACTTGAGATTACTCGTCTCCATACAACACTCTTCTCTCAAAAGTCAGCTCTACTTCTTTGTTTAACAAACGCATTCAAAATTTCCTCATTCTGTTATATAAGAGTTTGTTTTTCACTCATTTTCCTACTTATATGAAGAATATGTTTTCACTCCGGTCCTCTTCCTATGATCTTCCTGGCAACTACATTCTTTCACTAAGTAAACCTAAAACAACTACCTATGGTTTTAACTCCTTTTCTTACTTTTCAGCTAAGCAGTGGAATGCACTGCCGGACTTTTTTCGTACCAGTTTTTTTGCAGACTTTAAGACTAAACTACAGGATGCTACCTTCATGTAGATTCTTTTTGCCTGACATACTTAAACTTAAAATTGTCAATTGTAAATGATATTTTCTTTCCTTGCATTTAAAGTATATATATATTTTCTATATAGTTTTTACCTAGTGTCAGCTTGAAGATATTAGCTTGTTAGCTACTCTAAAATTCGAGTATAAATAAAGTTTTACGTTATGTTATGTTATGTTCAGACACACCTACTTTATGGAAGATATTTATTGCATGCAATGTCTAAGTTACGTCATGTGTAGTTCCCTGCTGTCACTATATTCTAACTAGCACGGTACATACAGCGAACATAGAGATCAGAGTATGCGTCAAGTGGTCGCTTACAGAAGGTGGTCGCACATGGCGGTTCGACTGTAGATGATCGATAAAGACCTTGAAAAAAGGAGGATTCAAACATTTTTCATGATGCACTGCAAACCTACAGTGACCACGGTGCACTGCGGACATAAGAGAATATTCTGTTATTGAATGTCTTGGCTACGAGCGAGATTGAATAGGATTTGACCATGGAAAAAAACATCACTTATTAAGGACTTTATGTCGCTTTGAAAAAGAGAAAAAACACCCAAACTTTTTACCATTTTTCCGGATTTTAACCCTATTTTCCAGACGTTTTACAGGTCTGGAAAATTGCTCTGCAAACTTCAAGACTTTTTCAGGAATTTATATTTAAGGCTCTGATTAAAGAAAATTAATCAAAATTCAAACGTTGGGTACCGCCACCAAATTGAAAGAAACATTGCTGACAAATAACTGCTCAAAAAGGTAGATGGTATCAATGACAAAGTAACACTACAAAAAGAAGAACAGATGGACAAACTTGAAGATTGAATGAGATACAAATTGTGGTTTTTGCAAACTTGTTCAGTTATTGCTGTTTGTAACGATTGATATGATGCTTGGCAGACATTTTTTTTGACGCAAAACTGTGATTTTGTCACTTACAGGTAATTTCCCGAGTTTTAAAGCGAACAACGACGCGTAACTGGCATTTTAAACAAAAGGAAGTAAACAGCCATGACACAGCTCCTTAAAGGCAGCGTTCCCGTAGTTCAAGACCTTGTACTCGGGCACTAAAGTGGGCACCGGGTTCCTGTGTACACAACGTTTCTGTTAGCTCCGGGGCAATCCACTGCTTTGTGACTTCAAAACAGGATTGACCTAAAACAGCAGAATTTCTTGACATATCCTCTTTACATATCGAAAGTTGTTGTTTTTGTGGTTTTTAAATTAAGGGTCTAGTCGATCTATTAATAGTATTTCAAGGGGTATCCGCCCGGGTGTAGCGCGTGGGTTTAGACCGGCAGAAAATGATGATGTGCTTACACTTAGTTAGCCTGTTCACAGACCCTCTATTTTCCATTCAAAGTCCGTCGAGCGCGCGTGATAAAAAAAATAAACCACGGGGAATTTATTGACCTCCGGCACAAAGGGGTAGGGGTGGGGGAAGCTCTCGCTCGCTCTCGCGCATGCCAATGTTTTCCAAAAGAACAAAAAGAAAAATGAAACAACGTCTGTGTAAGGGTTCTAGGGTTCTACCTAGGGTATTTGAGGGTAGAAGCTTCCCCCCCCCCCAAAAAAAAATGCCCAGCTCCCCCCCCCCAAAAACAATATTTTTATCATCACAGTCTATAAGTAACTATATCGGAAAAAATCTAGACGCGACTAGGCCAGTGCACACAGCATAACATTTCTCAAAATGGTAGCTCATCTCAGGCTCAGCGCATATTCCTGTGAAAAAAAATTTCCGGGTGGGAGATGCCCCCGATCACCCTAGGAAATTCGTGACCTTCGGCCACTCGGGACTTCTCCAACAAACGATAAATCCCAGACAGAACCCTGTACACATTGTAGAATCATGAAGAAGATATCATATGAGATATCATATGTGCTGACGTCCGACCTTACTGTTCACATGTTAAAATATAATGTAAGAGGGACGTCTGCTGTCCTCTCATCTACGACTCTTAATTTATTCATTCAACAAATTCCATTAGGGAGCACCAACCATAATAATGTTTTCGGTGACTTTTGCAGGCATTAGTATTAAAACTTGAAAAAGTTGGCCCCGCCTTTCCATCTATGCCTAAATATGTATAGGTAATGGCAAGATTGGTAGTGATATTTGGCATAAATACCACGAGTGACATTTCGAAATTGTTATACGTAATTTCACGAGCCGTTAGGCGACTGAAATTTGAGACAATTTTGAAATATCATGTACAAATTATGCTATTATTTGTTTATGCTATTACCCGCAAAAGTTTTGTAATTTTCATATGTAGATATTTCAAATTAAGCTGAAATACCACTGCTTTGAGCCAATCAAATTGCAGAAACTTAAATTTAAAGCCTTAAACAACAACGCTGGAGTGTTATTTTTTTTGAAATTCAACTGATATGAAAGAATTTTTACCTTTTGAAGAAGATAGGAAATAGCGTGACGTGTAGCCACTTTCAGCTTTGTTTAATTACCAACTCCTGCAGTTTATGTTGAGCACTGAAGCTCAATTGATTCGATTCCCTTGACCTACAAAAATTTTTAGCTTTCGTTTGGGACAAGAAGAAAATTTTGTTCCTGTTCACAGGGGCACCCAACGACTGTTTTCTGTAAAATATCTGTTCGGAGAAGCAAATATTGACTAAAATTTTCTATTTCTTGAGGACGGCTAAAATTTCTAGGTGACTGTTCCATTCATGTACAATTTTCGAAGCTTACCTAACAAATTCTCTAGAATTTTCATAAGTTTAATTAATTCACATTTCACTCCCCAGGTTTAGCTAATTATCGTGTAAAAAGGAAACCTAAAATTTTCTGATTCAAAAGTGCCATGAAGAGAGGAATTAGAAAAATTCTAACTTTCGTAAAAACGTTAAATTACATCTAAAATTTTCGGGAAAGTAATACTGAAGCCTTAATAATGGCGAAAAGATTTAAGTTGCCCTAGGATGACCGAACAGATACAAATTTAAGAATGCATTTCTAGAGATCTAAAATTACTCTGGATAGCCCAAAAAGTGTTTTCAATGTATTTAGGAGCTCCTGTGTTCAGGGCTGTCAACCAGGGCCGGTAGCCCGCCAAACCCCCAGCTAGTTAGCCATCCTTAGCCAGCTATTTTCATCTCCTCCTACCGTAACTGCTGACAAAAAATAGGCACCATCGGATAAAATTGTAAAGCATACGTTCCACAGTTTTGAATGACTATGAACACATATTTAAACAGGTTTAGATCTGTGAAATGTTCGAACCGTGCGATGTCGTGGAACGCCTGGGACATTTCAACGGCATTATTCTTAGTCTTGCGTGTATTCTGACAAAACAACATGGCGTGCGCGGTGGAAAATTCCTCTTGAAAACCCCTGGAAATGCCATTTCCGAGACACTAAATTTCAAAATGTCCCTAGATGCCTCGGTCCTCAAGAACTTGTGCCTTTGGTGCGAGTTCCAAAGCCACCTACTATTCATTATCAGCCTGCTACTTAAAAACTTTTTGACAGCCCTTCTGTTTTGATCCTGTTCGTTCAAATGTTGCAGGGCGGCCTGTACACTGACCTGGGTATACCGTAATTTCAGTACTAATATGTCAGAATCCGTGAGACAGAGAGAACATTAAAATAATAAATAAATTATAAAAAAAATATTTTTTAAATATGTCTGCACCTATATTGTGCTGTTTTACTGCCAGGCAAAATAATTCCGGATAGCCATATCCCAGCATAAGC